CGAAGAAATTTGGACCTTGACAAAAAATAATTGACTATCCCTTCCCATTGGGTTAGTTAAATCTGCCACAGACTTCTTTGCAAAAGTCAAACTGACAGCCGAAAAGCAAATGCAGCTGTTGGTGTACCAATCCCACACAATCAGCTTGTGAAAAACTGGGCTCCAACATGTATGCAGGGTTCATGTAGGGTGACCAGACAGCAAGTGTGAAAAATCGGGACAAGGGGTGGGGGGTAATAGGAGCCTATATAAGAAAAAGACCCAAAAATCGGGACTGCCCTATAAAATCAGGACATCTGGTCACCCTAGGTTCATGACAGATGGGGTTAAAAAACAGTCTTTATAGAACAAGAACTGAAGCAGTTTGACAGGGGTGTTTTCTGTGTAGATCAGTGTGTTGAATGTAGGTACCACAAGAAACTCCCAGTTCAGAAGACACTCTGGATTGTCAAATAGCCTGATGTTCCGAAGTGTGGGTTCATCCCTTACTCTTGCTTTGAGAGTCTCATGATTGCAGCCAATGGGAATATTTCCCCCATTTCATAGCTACTTCAGTGCCTAGGGTCAGTGGCTATAAAGTAACTGGCTGTTTTCCTGTTTGCCATGAATTTGAGATAGCCCTTTACCATTATTTTTAGTGTCATTCGTTTTGTGTACTCCATTTCTGTTTGGAGGATGGATCATGTTCTGCTCAGCTGTTATGGTGCCTCTCAACTGATGTTTGATACTGCACTTTGTGGCATAGTAACTCTTCCTATGTGCAACTGCCGTGTCTTGGAGACTGTAGTCACTTTTCATATTTGGGAATATAAACCTTGTTTGCATGTTCCCAAAATTTTAAAATGTGGTCTATGTTAATTTCCTTTGTATTTGGAGGGGTTCTGCTTCCTCTCCTCTCCCCCGCTGTGCTCCTTCAAATGTGGTGAGTGAACGATACAGGGTCTTAAGTTTTGTTGCAACTCCAATTGTTATTTTCTTCTTTTTAAAGTATTTCTTCTGTTCCCCCCCCTCCAGCCATTTATTTATTTATTTATAAACTGGTTCCAGGTGCGTCTAATACAGGAAGCTTTGCAGCTGTGTATATTCCTGTAGTGTTTTTCAAGGCAGTAACAGGCAGGTCATCAGCATCTCATGATCTTTATTTCATGCCTGTGAACTGCCGAGGAAGTGCTACTGTACTAGAATGTTGCCTTAGTACCCAAGGAAAACACGCTGAGTTTTTCCCACTAGACAGAAAGTTTCATGGGCCTGAACTAAATGGAAAGCCCTGCATTGGACCAGATAAACCTATCTAGGAATGGTACATGGGAGAGATGGAAAATGACCCATTACAATACACCCAGGCAGTCCTGTCCCCTCCGAGGGGTGGCTGTGTGGAATTGGACACTGCCAGGCAGTCCGGCCCCCTGCCTTGGCAGGGGCTGTGT